GAGGGCGGCGTGCCACCTCGGCTCGCTCTGGCGCTGAAGGTGCTTTAAGCCCTTTGCCTCCCTGCGGAAAGGTCGCTGGCTCTCTCGGGCGGCAGAAGAACAGAGTCCTGGTGCCCTGTGCAGGATTGAATGGAGTTAAAAAATAGCCAGGCCGGAGTTGTGAATGGTGTGGATGTCTCCTCGTCGTTCTGCTATCCCTTCTCCAGGGCAGCCAAATAGTTCGCAAGCAACACTTTCACGCTGTCTCCACATTCCCGTTTCCCCCGTGGGCTTGTTTTAGATTATCCTGGGAATATATTTAATCCTTTCTTACTTTTAAACAAACTGCCAGGAAGACTTGCCAGGAACCCACTGTGGAGCGAGAAGGGAACGCGCCGAAATGGCCGCGAGTTTGGCCACCCCTGGGGTGTTTGGGCTCTTTCCAGGGCTCGGTTGAGTGGGGATGTCCTCACGTAACTCTGCTAGCGCTGCTCCACACTGAAAGCCGTCGGACGCCTTCAGCCCCCCGGAGCCTGATGGCTCTTTGTGCCCCTCTCAGCACGGAGAGCAAAAATGTCCATCCCAAGAAATGCTGCCAAATGGAGCCAGCGACTCCCGCCGCGGCACGGGTGATGTCCTGCTAGGTGACGGTTAGAGATTTGCACGTGGCTTTTTAACTTTGAGGGTCCGTGTCCCGGCAGGCAGAGAGGGAGAGCTGCGTCGCCGTTCGGTACTCGGACTCCGCGCTGCACTTGACCCCCAGGAAGAACACGTGCCTGTTCCGGAGCCATCCCGCGCCCGCCATCTGCGGTCCCCGCGCTCGCGCCGTCCTGGCACAGCGGCAAGGGGTGCAAAGCGAGCCCTTTCAGCAGCAAGCCGCCAAGGTGAGCGGTTCCCCTCCTGCGTTTTTCATCCCTGCTTCGCCATGCTGGTTGCTCGTGGTTTGAAATGGTTTGAAATGGAGGGCAGGCAAGAATCACCTTTCTACCCGCTTTTACAACACGTCCCTGATATATTTTTTTTTTTAACACCGAGTGAAACATTGACTTGCGTTTTCACTCTGGTTTGCTGCGTATTGTTGTACTCCTCCATAGCTCTTATCAGAGCCTCAAAACTGATAGTAAGTGTCTTCTCGGGGGATGCTGTGGTTGTACTTGCCCTGCTGCTTGTAGATACGGTGAATTTTCCCTCTGCGCCCCGGGGACTTGTTGCTGTGCAGGCGTGTCGTGTCGGAGAGGTGGCACTAGGTGGTGCCACCTCATTGCAGCTTGTCTCCTGCAGACCAGGAGCATGGGATCGCAAAGTCTTGGAAAACCTGCCTTAGGGACTGTTTCGAGCGTTTTTTTTAACAGCGCTGCTTTTGGCATTTTATGAAGCGCGTGTGTTCGCCTAGGCGCTGGAGTTATTCCAGTTGAAGCACCGCTTCCCTTGGGGGGGAGAATCGCTTCTGGCTGGACACCGGAGAGGACAATCGGGGATCTGGGACTTCTGGCACCTCAGCAAAGTGATTTGGGAGCGGATGAGCTGTAACCGAGTCCTTTGCCGTGCCTGGATCAGGATTTCAGGGCATTGGGGCAGCTCCGAAAGACACCTTGGGTTGCAGGTCACCTTATACCTATTTGTGAAGCTAATTGTGTGTTTTGTTGCGCTCCCTTGATAAAGCACCTTGGTTGGAGTGGCACTCCTCCTGTGCCGCTAAGCTTCTTGGCGTAGCCCTCACGGAAAGCAGCTAGTGACCTCTTGTTTTGTCTTGTCTTTGCCTTCCCTCTTAACGGCAGCTTAGCAAAACCATGAAGCAAGTTCGGCGCAGGCTGGCGTCCTGCAAAACCATGCCCCAAGGAGCGGGTCCCCCCGAACTCCCCGGCGGCGTCTGGAGGCGAGAGGTGAGCGAGGATTGCCGAGGGTAGGGTGAGAGGAATTGCCTTGCAAAAACTGTTGAAGGTCTGGCTCTAATTAGCAAATCCAAAGCATAGTTCAGTGAGTTTCTCCGGCAGAAGTAAAACAAACTGGGCTTTCGTGACCCACCTGATGGATTTCGGTGGCCCAAGGGTTCTGTCCCTCTGTTCTTGCTGCCTTTCAGAGAGGGCAGCAGGATAAAGTGGGTGAAAACGTCTCTGTTTGCAGAGATTAACGAGAGAGAAACTAGGAAACAAGAATTCAGAAAAGAGGTTTTTTTTTTTAAAGGCTGAGATTGTGATCTGGGTATCTGGGAGGAATGTGATTATCAGCCCTCCCCTTAGGTGCCTTTATTTCTTCAACAAACCTCAACAGCTCTTTCCC